CAGGCGATCGTACTGGTCCATGGCTCGAGTCACCGAGACCAATGCGATCGCTTGTCCAATTCCTGCCCACCCCTGGCCATAAAATCAACAAGAGTCACAGTGAGTTCAATCGTTGCGTTACAAGTTTCTTTATAGATCCAATGCGACCAACCATCCCTAAAAGTCAAATACATCATGTTGAGGGCCAAGAAGGGCCCCGGACTTGGACAAGACATATTGGAAGAGGTGGAAGAGGTGAGTCTCCGCAAAGAAGTTTGACGGTCCATCTACTCCCTTCAAGCGGAATATTTCAATTAATTGCTTAGGTTGATCATCCACTACCAGTTGAAGCAACTGCATCTCCATTGGAAGCCAAGCAGATTGGCGAAGATATTGAACATAACGAGGCCTCTGACTACGATGACGACCGTGAGTCACCCTTTTTTTTAAAGAAATATGGAAATTTCTTCCTATCAATCCGATAAACAATCACCGTCTCTGAAGCAACTTAATGTTTAAAAATGAAAACAATAAGAAGTTCCTTCGATTTTAAATCATAAAGATTGAATAACGCAAACATATTTGTAATATTTAGAAACCAGCCAGCCATTAACAGACGCCAAGTGCAACAGCAAACCTTTGAGAAATCTCATCATGGAGGTTGGTATTTCCATTTTCACCAGCATATACTAGAATTCAAGCAGCCGAAGCGCTGATCACCAGGGTGAATATCGGTCGAGGATTCCTCAACGGCACGTCGAGGATTTCTGCCTGATCAGTTACGTTCTCCGCGCGGACATTCACACTCGCCATGCGCGAGCCGTCTGTGCTCTCCGCGCGTACGTTCACTCTCGGCACTACTCTCGCACAGTACAGAGCCATGGTCGAGGAATCCTCGACCGTTATTCATCCTGCTGACAACTTCTCTAGACACAATTTAATCTCAACGAGAAATGGATGATGGATGTAAACATTTTCAAAAAATGAGGTCTTCAAGGTCATTTGAAGTAGGCTGATGTCGAACTATTTACTAATTCATACTTCTACTCCTTTCTGCAAGGACTTAAAGGCACAGCCTAGGCAGAAGTCGTGTGAAGATTAACTTCGGTCTGTAGGACAGAGCCTTAGAGGATAAACACAGATGTGGCATCCCATGAACACCTGACCAGAGCGCTAGGGCCTTACGAGCTGCAGCAGCTGCAGTCTGTTGTCTAGCGCCTCTTATCCTTACCGCTCTCTCGCCTCCTCTCCGCGCTAGTCTCTCATTCCCTTAGCACAGCCGATTAGGAAGGTGAGTGAGCCCTTAACCTAAGCGTTTTCGACGGATTCTTTTCCTTTTTTCTTTACTGCTGGCCCATTCGCACCAATACATTCGCATTCGTGTGCAAAAGCCACACCTACTTGATCCTGAGACATGCCTTTGAGATGTGCATTGATTTTGCGCGCGTCTAGAAGTAACTACTCCTACAAAAAATGCGGCAGCAAGGTCTAACTGTTGGGGCAACCTAATACAGCTGTTTCCAGAACATTGTCAGAGACGATGCGTTGGCATCAAAACGAGCGATTCATGACGCGTCAGTTAAAACGTTCCCAGAATCCACCGTGGACGTCATATGTTCAGGCACAGGTAAGTGATAGTGGTTTCAATAAAGTCAGAACTAAAAGCATAGATATAATAAGAATGGAGCGAAAATGACAGAAAGGCAATGAGTGGGTTCAATTCTGCCCACGGCCCATGGTTTCATTCTTTGGCATTAGGGTCAACTGTAGTCGAGGTTTCCAAGAGCAGAGCCCCTCACCACCCTGCCACTCCCCCCTCCCCTTACCTCCCACTAAGTATCTGCCACTACATTTATGTTTCCTCTTTTTTCTTCTACTTCCTCATAAAGCTCAATGGGATTATGTGGAGGAAAATGAGAAGAACAATGACAAGTAGTGAAATCGATGAGAAATCCTACTCCCACACTTTCGAAAAGTAGCCCTGCACCGCTATACATACCATGACCTCTGAATATGACTCCCATCGGTCGAAAGCTCCCACTGCGGAGAACAGAACCCGAATTGGCACCTTTGGTTCGATACGCTTCGTAAACATATCCACAACTCCTCCCTAGCAAGGACTTCATCGACAACAAATCTTGACCCTATCAATATTTCGTGTCACTCAAGCCCTTTAGTTTTTAGATTTTTCAAGACTTCTTCAGCTCTTTTCGTCAGCTGCTATCCCTCTCCCTCTTTCGGTTGTTCCTCAAATCTTACAAACCAAAAAATCCACGTCACAGCAACTTATTACTTTTAACTATTTCCAGTAATGTGTAGCCTTGCAGGATTCACATACTTGGTATCAACGACGGAACATTGTGAAGCACAGAAGGACAACGTCATTTGTTTCGTTTACAAGCGACCTCTTATTCGATAGGATCAGCTTTTCGCCAGTTGTTTGCAGAGTAATAATATTAATAATTGTTAATTGTATAAAATAAAACTAAAACTTCATGGATCTACACAGTTAAACACCAGTTCAGTACCTTGGAAGCTCACGTGTCAATCTAAATCAAACATACATGCAAATAAAGACTGGGAGCCATTAGAAAATGCGATTCACAGTAAGGCGCTGGCAAGGTAAAGCAATTTCATATGACACCAATAATTCTTGCGTACCCAAAACATTGTACCCGGATAGGCTTACAGCCTAGAAACACATTCACTGGAAAACATCAGTTGAGAAAATAAGATTAGTAAAGCTAATGTAGAAATATACAGGTATCTAAGTGATCATTGATGAAGTACTCAATAACATCTTCACCACAAGAAGGACATATTACATTACGATTCAAGGCGACCTCATCCAAGTTACCTGCAGTAGGCGCGGCAGAGATAGAAGATGACTGAGGAGTTGGATCGCTCTCGATTACAATCGGACAGTCAGCACTTCCAGCAGTTGATGACGGAAGAGCTCGAGGAGTTGGCTTGGAGCTTCCAGTGCTAATCCCGATATAAATGTCTAATGTTGGTGACCGCTGAGTTGAAGGATCGGTTTTCTTGGAGGGTGTAACCTGCTTTTCTCCCTTGTCTGAAAAAAAAGTGTGCAAAGGTGAATAACAAGAAAGTAAAGAAGGTCAAGAAGCAAGCAAAAATCTAGCACAATGGGCAATGAAATTCTGATACGACGCCTGCTTTAGGAGCTATTTTTTTGAGTTCACAATACAAAGGCGATCACAGATTTGCGACCTACACTGAGAGTTCCACGGTTGTGCTAGATGACCGAGCAGAGGCCATCCAGACTTCAAAGGTGTTCGATTAATAATTTCCGTAAAAGAAATGCGGAAAATGACGACTTCTAACAAAGCGCGCTACCAGTAATTTAAATCTGGATGGCTCTTCTTGTAGATCTTACGACCCCGAAGATCCTGAGATCAAGACACCACTTGAAGACAATGAAAAGTAACAACTTCCTACCATGGAAGTATAAAACTTAATAGCGTTTTTGAACAGGAATGAGTTGAGGGCTCCAGGACTGCATAATTTCAATGTGGGAGAGGGTTATATTTTGGTATAGAGTCAAGAGTAATGACCAAGAAACTGGGTTAGATGAACGGATTCTTACCTTTACTAGTCTTGCTTTTCCCTCTGTTCTTGCCGACCGAGGTAGACGTTGAAGGACCAGGCTTAGTTGAAGTGGAAGGTGATGCCTCTATCCGATTCAGAGTTCCACACGTCTGGCCTTTTCCCAAATTGGAGAAGTATCGATCAAGAGAATTGACTGCAATTGGCTTCTTCTCGGGTATTTCTTTCTGCAAAAGATCTCTGAGAACGATATTCATGACAAGAGAAAAAGTAGGCTCGCGATGGGAAGAAACCAGCTTCCCCACATTTTTCAAATCACTAATTAGGTGCAGAACAGCAAAGGGCGCTAACCTCGTCTGGTTTTTTCCTTTTCTTTTGACCATAACCATCAGGCTCCTTTATCTTTTGAAAAGTGCCTAAAAGCAAAATATTTACAGAAACCATGAAATTTAGAGAAAGATGCGGTTGACTTACCATTACAGCTTGCCTTATGGGAGTTCCACCACAGATCGTTTGGACCAGGAGCACGATTCGAAGACCTTTTCACATACCCAAAGAATGGCCGTCTATCACGACAAGGACCGTCACATCTAATGAATGCATTTATTATTCACTATTTAATGATTCAATTATTATAGGCTAGAAAGAATAAGATGGAGGTTCCTGATCAAAAGTTCGAGCAAGCAAAATGAGGGATTCGGCGGCAAAAAACTACCTCCAAATATGCTGTTTGTAGACGTTCACCTCGTCATGAAATGAATGATAAATGGTGATATTTGTGTTTGCCATCCGATTTATCCTGCAAACGAAAGAACTCTTTAAACATAGTAGTGACCGTGCTTCTGCTTCAGCTACATGTTACAACGAAGCGAAAACTGAAACTAAAGCTTCTATCTATGAGGTAAAAAAGGAAGAAAAGGATATCGAATGTAACGGAAAGTAAATAACCTGTACATGTGGTGCTGGAATTCCGGTCCGTGACCGTCTCTATCACGATTTCTCTGCGTTACAAAAAGGAAAGCGTGTATCATTTCGTGCTGTAATTATGCATTTTTTCATGATTACTCGACGTTGTCAATGAAAAAAGTCCGATTGTGGTGCGGCGCATCAAACGCTCCTTCTTATATGCACAGTCACAAGATAAAATCCCCTCGTCCTAATTCATTTCATCTATGCGCGCTTGTCTAGGAGCAACTAAATTGCATAGGCCAAAAGCGAAGCAAACCCCCTGCAAAATAACAATATCAACGATTCAGATAGAAGGCAAATGTTTGCGCAAAGAAATCAATCAATGTGAAGCAATTGTCCTTTAGCTTATTTCAACACTTTCCGAACCCAAACAATGCAGTTGGTGAAGGTTTCCACTGCTTTTTAGGAATTGGACTTCCTACTTCCAAACACGACACTCTTCAGGAAAGCCTGGTCGATAAAAGTTGAAAGAGAATTTGTCTTCTGATTTTGATACAGGGCACTGCTTTTTGAGAATGAGCTCGCAGATGATCTCACGATACACCATGCTATTCTGGCAAACATACAAATCAAAACGCCAGTGACTATTTGATTAGGCCGCGTTCATAGTTCGCGACTCCGCAGATTAGGATAGTAGGCGATATGATATGGGATAGTAGTAGAATAGATAGGAGATTGCGCTGACAAGATTGGATACGTATCGATTGAAATCGCTGGAGAGTAGTAGATTGGGCGACTTCAGGCGAATTAAAAATCACTGTATCTAATCTTGTCAGCGCACTATCCTACTCTCCTACTATCCTAATCTACTACTATCCAACTACCCCGTCAATACATAACCTTTTCACTTTTCACGCGCAGCCTAAGGAAACATATTTAACATGAGCCCTGAACGAGCGGTGGATTTCAGATAGGTTCGAGAAGCAGCGTGCCACATTTCCAGATTCTGTCCTGCAAAGAGTGGCTTATCCAGCTCCATCCCTGGCTTAACAGTTTCCATCCTTGCACGAATCCACTCGAGTGCTAACCAGCGCCAACTTTAACGAGATTACTCGCATTTTTTAACTTGTAATTTTTGAAGAATGTCTTATTGGCTTGAATGGAGTCGAGTGGAGTGGCCGTAATGCGTAAAGAAAATGGTGCTGTTGAGAAGGACCGTATACCGTCTCAGCGAACCTGGGAGCTTCTCAAGCAAAGATGGAGGGTGTCAATTGATAGCGGGGCTAGGCCATTATGCGGGGCTAGGCCATTATGGATACCATCGACCGTTGAGGGATGGGATGTGAACGAATCCTCGAAGTGGCTAGTTTCTGAACTTGTTTCAATGTCAATTTTGACACTTGTACAAAGCGGTGGACACGATCCATCCCCCTCACTCCACCCCCGCGACATTCCATGCTAAAATAATTGAAGTTACGAGCCCTTTCTGACCGTGGACGCCATTTTGAGGATCCCTCACAGCGCTGACTACGCTGCTCCATCGAGATTTACGTACAATAAAAAATTGTCCCAGCACTAACCAGTAACGTCTCAATGAGGTCCTTCCGAGGGCGGAGCTTTAAAAGTGGAAGGCTAAGTCGAATCGAGCACATGCCGCCGCGTCCCTCATATGAACACACACCAGCACATCTGAATTAGTAAGATGATAAGAAGTTCACATGGTGACCAGTTTCCGGAATACCACAAAGCAAAGCAAACTCACGAAAACATTCTCGGACTCCATTTGACTTCACATTGCGCCAGAGTTCCTTCGAAGAAGCGATCGTTGAAGTCGATGAATAAGAGATGAATGTCAGGACATGGATCGGACAGTTCGAGAGCTGGATCTACCAAGTCATATAACATTGGAAACGCTTCGCAGCGCAGTACAGTGTTCGAGCTTCTTTGAATATTAGTTCTGCAACGATGACAACGTTGCTTGTTCAGAAACCACACATCAAGCTGCTTCTTTAGCTAAGCGCCTGGACCAAAAGATTTCTGAACGAGTTTTATCAGTGCTCGGCTTTTCTCCTAACGAGGTTTTGTGAACAAATTCATACATTTTGGAACTGCTCGAACAGACAACACATATTTACATGACACTACTGCACCACTAGAAACCTCA